TTTGAAATATTACGAGGCTATTACTTGTTTTTGTAATATTGTCAATATTGATTTTATATGTTTAGGGAGTTAGTATATATGCATGCTTATCAACACCTTCCCAGGGGGTTAACAGACTATACAAGTCCAGTCACCACCCGGAGACCGGAATTCCACAGTTATATTTTGTTTGGACTAAAGACTCTTTATAGTGCAATCAAAATCTTGTAACAAAATCCACCCATTTTGTGCAACTAACATGGAGAGTTTAGTCATTTGCAGCATTGTCAAAACTTGCATACGATCAGCTGGGCTTTATCCAGCAGTGAAATTCCTGAGTGGAAACAAGTTTATATTGTGTCTTGCCATGGGAAGATAGTTTATTAGTAGTATTAATACTAATGCATGTCAAATCATTACAAACTGAGTATCAAGGTCTCCTTGAACCCCATGAGTGGAGAATGTCATGTTAGACAAGCATAGATAACAATGCCCAGGACAAGAAGAAATCAGGTCACAACTTTCATCATGGCCAAGCAAGATTAAAGATTAGGAATGTCCACAGCTACTAATAAATAACATACATGCAGAACATGGTTACATGTAACTTGTAACAGCTCCTACAATAGAAGTGGTATAAAAAGCTATGATAAGATGTATTTTCTCATAAAATATATGCCCCACACCATATCAATGTTGAGTGACAATTTTCTAAATATTCAAACAACACTCTCGATGTATCCTTTCAACTTGTGTACCTGTATTTTTTCTTTAACAACTCTTCATTTACTTATTGAGTGTAGGCAGCAGACATACACAAAATACATAAGCAAGGTGACCTGTCTATTGACAACAACAGGGAGTAGGGAATGGAAAGGCTTAAAGGGTGGTAGTGTTGCTACTATTGTCGTTGTGGACAGGGGGTAGGTTTGTAGTGATGAAATAATTTATAACTTTAACAAAATAGTCTTCTTAGCCTGAATTAAATACAACTTTGGAAACTCATTTGTTGTATAATTACAGATAACTTCACTGAAACTGAAGGACATCAACCAAAACAGGACATGCTAAATATGCATTTCATCTACAGGAGGATAATTTTGTGAAAGTCAAGCCTATCCATGCACCAAACCATCCTTCATTTGCTAAGGTCTTCAACCTCAAGGGTTGGCCCATAAACATGGATGCATTTCACTAAAAAGCCAGTGTACCATCCAACTTGTCTGAAGGATATGTGAGGTATGGTTACACCACGAGTGACTCGGCAAATCATATTTCCTTGAGGACATAATGCCAACTGTCAAAAATGTTCTTATCTTCAGTATTCAGACACAAATGACCACAGGTAAACACCGGAGGTCCATCTGTCTGTCTGTAATGCCAACTGAAGGACTGAAGACTACAATACACTTCACTGGCCAAGCCATCAAAAGCACCAGACTTCACTGAGCTGAAGTTCCATCTCATGATAGTTATCATACCAATAAGATCTAAGCTGTTTCAAGGTTTGTCTGCACCATAATACTGATCCTGGGTTTCACACAGTAGGCAAATGTCATGCGTAACTCCAGGCTTTCCTCCCTCATCAACCAGACCTGCCACGGTATTACTGAAAAACTGTTCATAGCGGCATTAAACCCTACTGACTCACTGGACTATAGTATCAGGAGGACCTATTTTAGCTGAACATGTACATGCTGAGATCAAAATTAACAACAGAGTAATTCTTGACATGGTAAATAGGAATTGATTCAGAGAACATAGCTAATCACAAGGTTTGCAGGAAGACATGGACTGAAACTGTACCACAGACTTCCCTGATCACCATGACAACAGTTTCAAACACCATGGGACACTCTTCTCGAAAGAAGTAAAGGACAACAAAATACCTTCACATTGCTGAAGTTAATCTGATTCTGTCATATTTATGCCTTGACAGACTACCTATAGTAATATGGAAGTGTAGAGGGTCCTTTACTTCTTTCAAGTAGTATACTTACCCTGCTGTTTCTGTCCAAACTTTCTAGAAACATTTGGGATGTATGAGAATAAAATCACTTCACATGTTATTTGAACTTTACAGTTTTACTGTATGTAAAGGAAGAATGTAAACAAGTAAATAAAGGAATGCATGGAATATGAACAATATACACTTGAGGTATGATAGCATGGGATATAGCAGGAGGCAAACATTGCCCTATCTACGTAACATCACAAGAATCTACAGAAGCCTCCCCTGGAACCACAGCTGTATTTGTAGTCAGTACTAGTACTGTCCCCAGCAGCAGCTACCCTCATGACAGTCCCAGATTTACTACCAATGATACAAATGACATGGCTTTATTAGAATGGTCTACGAGGACTAACTTTTGACACCAAGTATGAGAGATTGTTTCTGTGAACAGCTGAAGCATAAAGATGAATATAATGCCATAAAAGAGACAGACTCCAAATATGTGGAACAGATCTAAAGACAAAATTGTATGTTGGACACTTCAGCATCATGTAGTGCTCCAAGAATGGACCTAGCATACATTCTATATAACATACACACTTTGTGTAACAATGCAACAACCTAGCAGTACTCATCACAAAAGGTTCCACAGACTATAAACAAGCAGGGTTAAAAGGTCATATACAACACAAGACCTGCCATTCCCTGACATGGTAATTAAATATAAGATGTAAAAGCATGGTCAATACTACAGCTAATCTCCACTGGTTCAAAATACAAAAAAGTTATTTTCCTTTCTAAATGACCTACTTCCAGCTCGAGTAATAAGAGGTTCTAAAATAGCCAGTGATGGCTAAACAGATTGATAATCGAAATTATCACTGATAGGAAAAAAATATGAATGATTATTGATACGAAATTTGTGTCATCAATAACATAATACATAAACTGTTATATAAACTGTTAATTTACTTACACAATATACAAAGTAAGGTCTTCGGTTGCTTCAAACTTATGTTCGGAACGCTGCGCTATTAGCAATCCTTGCATAAATATGTCAACACTCACCAGTGATGTGAAATATGTTGACTTCTGTAAGCCTTTATTGACATTTTTGGTCAAAATTACTTCTCTCATATCTATCAATAATCAATCAATATTTAGACAACTGATCTATATTGACAGTCAGCCCTAAGTAAACATGCTTGAATCAGACAATCCAGAAAGATGGCAACAGACAATTTCAAAATCTGAAATTCTACACGATTATTCCAGATGTATGGAAGGCTGGGCTGGTCATCCTCTGCTGGCTGAAGGCGAGGACCAAGATGTCCTAACACCTGCCCCGACACAATGTCTCTCTACTTGTTCATCATGTACCCACGACACGATTCTGCTAAAACTGTACACATCCACAACAAATGTGTTATACAATGGGTCAGATTACCATAAAAACATAATAAAGATAAAACCAATCTGCATGATTAACAACACAGCCCAGAAGATTTGTTTCAATTTCATCTTCTGTTTTAGATTTAGTTCATACAAGACATTTGCCTAAAATTTGCCATATATCTAAATATATTTACAAGGACAACACTTTACTCCATGAAAACGAGAAACAAAATTCGATTGGCCATAAAATCATTTCTTTCAAACCTGAGGGACACAATTCATAATATTCATCACCAGGTGCATCCTCACAAACACAAAGAAACTTTACCTGGAAAAATTAACATAACATTGTGGGTACCTTAAATATCAGATGAACAGAACAGACAGGTGACAACAACAGGGAAGACTCAGGACATAGTATCAGAAAAATAGAGTAAGGACACAGAGATATATCAACATTATCCACACAGAAACAAACACAACATAATGTGATACAGTTGTGTTGAACAATAAAATACTGATTTCATCATGCATTCAGTGATTCAATCATTGAACAAGTTTGAGCAACATTTCAGAAACAGCATGACAGTACTGACCTTTTGTGTTCCACTAGTCGAAGACTAGATACAGCCTGGAAACTTGGTCATGTTGTAGTTTGTCGAAGGTGAGTACACTTACACTGTCCTACCGTTGTAGACTACACTTAAAGTCTGTCTTATCTGAATTATAGACCACCCGTGTCCGAACGGATGTCTTGATGTAGCCCGGTTGTAGGCTACACTTATAGTCTGTCTTATCTGAGTAATAAACTACTGATACAGTTACTGCTGAAAGTTAGCCTGACAGACTGCATACAGGCAGTTAATCAACACTATAATGAGATCACTCAACCTTAAGTTCCATGTCTACCAGTTGTCAGAATAAGAACACACAAGATATGGCACGCCATACGGTATATAAAACATTCCCCAACTTTTAGGCTCCACAGAGAGAGTTTGTGTAGAAAGATGCTAATAATGAGTATCTGTAGACACCATGTTTGACACCATGTTTGACACCATGTTTGACACCATGAGACAAACTCAGACCTGAATGGATATATGTGTCATTTCTACCATGGCACTTGGCACAGAAATACCTAGTGTGAGATATGAGAAAAGCTATTCTCACAAGGTCTATGCATCATGAAACTTGTAGTTCAATGAAATTAAAATGGAAACAAATAAAGATTCAATTCAAATACTTAAAACACTTAAAATAAAAGTCTAAAAGATCCAGCTTGTGAGGGGCTCACACTGACAATATCTGAGACCAATCTGTGTGATGGCTCTGTGACTAATGTCATCATAACTAAAATGATTTTACCCCAATTATTATGCTTATTAAAGTTATATTAGTCGCCACCCACATCAGTTAAACAGCTGTGGCTAATGACAAGCTATTAACATTAGCAGAATATGGTGTTTGCCAGCAAATACCAGATGACTAAGTTCTGTTGTGTTATGAAGGCAGTCAGAAGCAGCCAATGTTACCAAGATCCACGATGTCTACCCATCTGTGGGAACAAACCCATGACTCTTGGGTCTCCCCAAGATGAACAGCAATCTCTTGACTTCCTCATATATGTATACTGTAGACAAGCTGTGAGATCACAAGCAGCCATGGTGCACAGCAACCTGTTACCAAGCTGACACTGTCACCACTGGCCATCCACCACGCCCTCCGTCTTCTGCATGTCACAAAGTTGTCCTAGCAAGTGCCAATGACCGATGACACTTGCTCCATCATCTATCCTGCTGTTTCCTGCATCATGTCCACAGATAAGAAGGCAAAATGGCCTCCTTTGTTCCCACTTTCGGTGCCAGGTTTTCATACTTCAGAAAGTTCAGTGGCATGAGGACAACATAACCTTTGACCTTCTTTAGCATTTCCTCAGCTTCTGATTGGTTGGTTTCTACAAGAGGTTTCTCAGCCTGGAATTTCTTGAGGTCTGTCAAGCTGTGGACACTGTCGCATGGAATGCAGTTGAACACCTGAAATAGGAGGAGTCCACGTTCAAACACTCACACCATGGATTGTATCTATCTATGAGAATTGTTGAAACCCATTTACTTGTAAACGAAGAAAAGACATCTTAACATTCGACATTCAACAATGAACAGCCTTTGTCCTGCTTCCACAAAGTGAACCTACCTTGTCATTAGGGGTGGGTATTGCAGAGAATTTTCATATTGCGATATATTGCCATGCGAAAGCATATATTGCGATATGTATTGCAATATATTGCAAGAAGTTCTTTTTTAACAAAAAACCCTACTTATAATCGAATTAATGCTTGATTTATAAAGCAAAAACACAAAAAATGACTATGCTTCATTAAGCTTTAATAAAAATATAAACAATAGTTGCCACAAATAAAAAAGGAAAGGAAGAATTAAAAAAACGGAAACATCTGAAGATTTCCGAGTTTTCCGAAGTTTTCCAAATGCATGTCAAAATACCGGTTTCCGATCAGCATATCGCAATATGTATCGTTTTCATATCTGAACCGGTAAATACTGGTAAACCGGTTATATTGCGCAGCCCTACTTGTCCTACATCCACAAAGTGAACCCACCTTGTCCTACATCCATCAAGTGAACCCACCTTGTCCTACATCCATCAAGTGAACCCACCTTGTCCTACATCCATCAAGAGAACCTACCTTGTCATACATGGTGGTGTTGATGCTGGCCCTGTGGATCCATTCACCCTTGTAGAAGGAGTCCGAGACAATGTCATCCACCTCATAGCCAGCATCTCCCAGCCCCAGGTGCTCACTGCAGGATACAAAGTGCAGCTAGTTACTTCCTGGTTCAACCTTGTTGTTGGATACACAAGAACAGAATACAAAATAGCATATATTTCCCTACTTGGCATGGAATACACAGCTCATGACATGGTACAGGACACACCGGGACACTCATCTTCAGAGGGACTGCTCCTGAGGCAGGGGAGTGGTTCATATGTCATCTCAACTAGGCTACTACAAGTATGGGCAGATGCACTGCAGGCAAGTAATACACAAATAACATAATGAAACCTGCTATCTTTGTCGGGCCAGAATCAAGTCTTCCTGCATGGAAACAAGTCAAACAGTTCAATGTCAAAAAGGCCACGGCATTGCATCTCCTGTGGATATTATGTCAATGTGTTTGTACAAAGATGATTGAGCAATAACCACAAAAAGATTTCTAAAACATGTTGGTCCTAGACCCTTACTACTCTTGTGAAACCAGTGAGTATGGAAATAGTGCTGACTAAACCTAGGAACAATCAGTGTGAACTGGATTCGAACCCACTATGATAGATTACTGGCACACCCAGGGGACACAACTCCCCACAGCCAACTGAGCCTCCCATGCTGCCTCTACAACACTAGCAGTATAGAGATGCTAGAGCTAATGGCTGTGGCTATCATGACCAGGAAACATGTCCCACATTGTTCAAAGCTCCGGACACATTTCGAAAACATGGAAAAGCTACAACATCAATATTTTCCACAAGCTCCATAAGTCCTATGATGGCGGCATATAATCCCAAAATTTGGGCAGTGACACATCCAAGCAGTAAAATACTACCCCACTTATGACAGCTATAGTTTTGTTTTTCAAGATGAAACGAAAAAAAAAATATTCTCGTTAGATTTCAAGCAGTATTTAAATGGAATGATATGTCTGATTATTACTAATAAAGCTTAGTAGTACAAAACAATGACTTCAAGAAACTCCACCTATGATATCAACCAGATGTGACTTACTTGAACAGGGTCCTTCTGAGGGAGGAGGCAAACTTGCCCGCCATGTGCTTCCGATCCCCAAACGAGATCTCGAACTTGTTCTTTGGGAGGTCCTCCACCATCACTGCCATCTCGCTGTCCCTCTTTCCCAGCATGCTCCTGTCGTTGATGTTGGCTGAGCCGATGATGACAGTGTCGTCATCAACGATCATCAGCTTACTGTGTACATACACGAGCTCAGTGATCTGTAAGAAGGGAAACGCTGTACACATACACAAGCTCAGTGATCTGTAAGAAGGGAAGCACTGTACACAAGCAGGAAACACACCTCACCGTGTGCCGACCAGATTAGGAGCATTCCTGCACATCCTGCTGATTAGAACTTGTGACATACCATTATATATAATCCCTATTCTAAATGCATATGACAAGTACTGTAAACTTATCCATGTTAATACCACATTCCAGAAGCTTCACAACCCTACATCAGCTGAGTGAGTTTATTTTTACACCGCATTCACCAATATTCCAGCTATATGGCGCCGGTCAAGTAGGGACCCGACAGTCCAGTGATCAACAACATGAGCACATAATCTGAATAACTCCATGGCTTCCCATAGCAACTGTGGCACTACTAACAAGACATAGGTCTGGGAATGCTTGGAACTAGAGAGTGTAGGGATATGAATTATTGAGGTCCCAAACCTCTATATATTGAATCAAAGGCATCGTGTGCCAGACAAACATTTCAGGGCATCCACTGGATGAGGCATCAGGAATACCACGAACCAGGCTTGGCATTAACATACAACAATGGCAATGGCACCCTTGTATGGCAAACCAGGAAGGTGTATCACCAAAGAAACTTTCTGTCCTGATTTAAATGTTAATCTAAGCAGTGACAAGCCCTCTACTAGTCCCTGAGGTCCTGGACCAGATCTAACACTCAGTAGGATGTGTCGACTTACTCGTTTACCGTTGAGCTCGTCATGGGTTCGCAGCCCATTGAAGATGATATACTGCATAGGGTCAGGCACTGAAACAGGAACATCTTAGTTTAACATTCTATATCACAGGCAAATTTGTTGGATGGGTAGAGGTTTCAGAAATATCTTGAAATTTTAGAATTACAAATAAAACACAAATGTAATGATTTTCAGAAGTTGCATAAATTCAATCAGGTAGACTTTGTTCAATTACTCTAAATCTGTGGCAGGTTCATTGTTAAAAAAAGAATGAAAAGGTCCACTGTATGTTCCAGCCATGAAGTAAATCTGGATGCACACATGATGTAACAAAGAGCAAGAAACTTGCACCTGACATTGACCCATTTCATCTCACTTGGTATCAAACTGTGATGAGAAACTATGTTACTTGTTGCATACACACTACGTAAGAAAACAAATTCTGATTGTATCAGCTGCTAATACAGCCAGACAACCTTCCTACCTTCTTTGCTGAGTTTCTCTATGAGAGAGTTGCCTCCCCTGCATATAGATGAGTAGTTCCAGTGAGTGACAGCTTGCAGGGCAGTGCCCCCTGGTGTTCCAAACTCTCCCTCGAAGGCTGGCAGTAACGGCATCATCACATACACGCGGAACATCTCCCCCGCCCTGACAACAAAAACACACGTAGCACACACCACAACACTAGTGCTACGTCACATCTACAAAACTAACAACCCATGAAGGTCCGGGTTAGAATATTGATCTTCAGTAACCCATGCTTGTCGTAAGAGGCGACTAACGGGATCGGGTGGTCAGGCTCGCTGACTTGGTTGACACATGTCATCAGTTCCCAACTGCGCAGATGGATGCTCATGCTGTTGATCACTGGATTGTCTGATCCAGATTTGATTATTTACAGACTGCCGCCATATAGCTGGAATATTGCTGAGTGTGGCGTAAAACCTCACTCACTCACTAGAAAAACTAACAAATCATAACAATGTAACAACATTAACATAAGAAGTTGTTTGTCATCGTCTCTGAATTGTGTAGATCGATACTCATGATGTTAATCACTGGATTGTCTGGTCCAGACTCGATTATTTACAGACCTCCATCATATAACTGGCATATCATTAAGTGCAGCCAAAACAATAAACAAACAAAACTAGACTCTCTATTACCGATAGGCACGGAGTATCCGCTTGTACAGCGCGTTTCCCACATCATTGGACACTGAGGATGAGTTGTCTATTTGTGTTATGAAGAACTGGTTCTGCAAGTACAGGTTCATCATTTAGTTAAAGCTATGAAATGTTTTTTTCAAGCAAAATATCAAACATATGCTTCACTGTGTAGAATATAAATCTTGTCTATTAGTAAACACAAAAGTCAGCATCAGCCACTACTCTAGACATGCTGCACCACTGCCGCCTAATGAAAGTGTGAGATTATGTCTTTCAGAAAGAGGTTCAAAGTAACAAATGTTATATTTGCGATTACATTTTCACAGTAGATGACAAATTCTTGTACTTTTTGGGGTTGATTCTCGTCTGCAATTCGTACCTACACTGTCGGAACGAGGCACTAATCAGTAGCGCACAACACTTGTTACAGTGTATGGCATTGGCCATAGAGGATCTAGTACACACGGCTCCGAGACACACGAGGAGCAAGGATTTTTCATGAATGTTACCTTGTATACTCCTGTACACAAATTTGTCATTACAAGATGAAATAATCTGATATAATAGTGCTTTGGCAAAATGAGACAGATCTTGAGTTTTGACGGAGTATGATGCACACCCCATCCCCACCCCTCACCACTGCTGACAGACAGACCGTGCAGTACACAAGGACATACCTCGATGTATATGTAGTGTTTGGAGTTCTCTATACAGTGGATGTAGGCTTCTTGGATGGAGTTCTCTATCGCTTCAATCCCTGCTGACCAGCCTGATGTGCTCCGTAGTATCTGCAGACAGTCACAACAAGTATGATATAGTGGAGCTGTAGGTTAGGTCCACAAGTATGAATATAGATGCTCAAGTCATGGTTGAGTAACATCAGGTTATATAGAGAATCTCACCCAAGTGTCTTCTGATATGAAATATATCAACACGAGTTTGATTAAAGTTACAAATATCCAAAGTTTGCAGAGGATATTTTTACTTTAATCATCAAATATTGATATATTTGGTATCAGAAGACACGAAGATGTGAATTTTATTATCATCAAAATCATTCTTCATCAGTTATCAGTAAAAAAACGAATTTATCTGAACACAAAACTGACAATAGGCTTCTTCAGCAGTGATCTCAGTGAGGACATAGATTTATGACATCATACCATTGTGATGTCATCAACTTTGTGATGACATAGCATTGTCAGTTGTGTTCATATTGATGTCAAAGCAGTGTGAGGTCATTAACTGATGATGCAATAGCATTATGACAGTTCAATTGTTGCAATATCTATAATGTAGATATCGCTTGATCTCACATCTGCTGTGGGAGTCAGTTTTGGATGATAAATATCCTTATGGCAGCACTTTTCAGGACTTGGCACCTGTCTGCCTGAACATTTAGCCATTTGGAGGTAAATGTCATTGAATGGAGTTGGGAAAAAAACCCTGGTCACTCAAAAATAACATCAGCAAACACATTTACTATAATTCATATCACCCTAAATAGGTCTCCAAGTATATTTACAATGACAACAAAGGAAGCTATGTTTCTATAGCCACATACAGGACAGAGTTAAACCCTTTGTGTTGATACCTGTTGTTTAATGTTGTGAAATCTTGGGATGAACCAGCATTAGAACCAGTAAAGGACATCAAGCACTGAGGCAGTCAACTATCAGTGCTGCACATGGGTTTTGACATTAATGATGATCTAACTTTGACTCACCTGTGTTTTTACATTAAAGGTAATCTTCCTGTGACTCACCTATGTTTTGACATTAAAGGTGATGTTCTAGTCACTCACCTGTGTTTTGACATTAAAGGTGATGTTCTAGTGACTCACCTGTGTTTTGACATTATATGTAATCTACCTGTGACTCACCTGTGTTTTGACATTAAAGGTAATCTTCCTGTGACTCACCTGTGTTTTGACATTAAAGGTGATCTCCAGTGACTCACCTGTGTTTTAACCACTAAAGGTAATCTTCCTGTGACTCACCTGTGTTTTGGCATTAAAGGTGATCTCCAGTGACTCACCTGTGTTTTAACATTAAAGGTAATCTTCCTGTGACTCACCTGTGTTTTAACATTAAAGGTGATCTCCAGTGACTCGCCTGTGTTTTAACATTAAAGGTAATCTTCCTGTGACTCACCTGTGTTTTGACATTAAAGGTGATCTCCAGTGACTCACCTGTGTTTTAACATTAAAGGTAATCTTCCTGTGACTCACCTGTGTTTTAACACTAAAGGTGATGTTCTAGTGACTCACCTGTGTTTTAACATTAAAGGTGATGTTCTAGTGACTCACCTGTGTTTTGACATTAAAGGTGATGTTCTAGTGACTCACCTGTGTTTTAACATTAAAGGTGATGTTATAGTGACTCACCTGTGTTTTGACATTAAAGGTGATGTTCTAGTGACTCACCTGTGTTTTGACATTAAAGGTGATGTTCTAGTCACTCACCTGTGTTTTGACATTAAAGGTGATGTTCTAGTGACTCACCTGTGTTTTGACATTATATGTAATCTACCTGTGACTCACCTGTGTTTTGACATTAAAGGTAATCTTCCTGTGACTCACCTGTGTTTTGACATTAAAGGTGATCTCCAGTGACTCACCTGTGTTTTTAACCACTAAAGGTAATCTTCCTGTGACTCACCTGTGTTTTGACATTAAAGGTGATCTCCAGTGACTCACCTGTGTTTTAACATTAAAGGTAATCTTCCTGTGACTCACCTGTGTTTGACATTAAAGGTGATCTCCAGTGACTCACCTGTGTTTTAACATTAAAAGGTAATCTTCCTGTGACTCACCTGTGTTTTAACATTAAAGGTGATCTCCAGTGACTCACCTGTGTTTTTTTAACATTAAAGGTAATCTTCCTGTGACTCACCTGTGTTTTGACATTAAAAGGTGATCTCCAGTGACTCACCTGTGTTTTAACATTAAAGGTAATCTTCCTGTGACTCACCTGTGTTTTAACACTAAAGGTGATGTTCTAGTGACTCACACCTGTGTTTTAACATTAAAGGTGATGTTCTGAAGTGACTCACCTGTGTTTTGACATTAAAGGTGATGTTCTGAGTGACTCACCTGTGTTTAACATTAAAGGTGATGTTATAGTGACTCACCTGTGTTTTGACATTAAAGGTGATGTTCTAGTGACTCACCTGTGTTTTGACATTAAAAGGTGATGTTCTTGTCCTACTCACCTGTGTTTTGACATTAAAGGTGATGTTCTTGATTGACTGAGGGATGTGACACTTGACATTGTTTTTTGGCAGAAGCAGAGGGAAATTGTTATTCTTCTTACATTTAGCCAGCTGAAACAGCAGAATCAAACAGTTATCATGGGCTGTATATAACTAGTTACAAGGTTTCATCCCTCACAATGGCCATGCCTCAACACAACCTGTTGTCCCAAATGGCCGAGAGCTATAAAAACAACTTCAGTCAGGGCAGGTGCATGCAGCCACAAATCACCCAAACATCACTGTGGTAGTGCAATAACCTTGAACAAACCATCAAACCCAATGTCATTACCTCATATATGACATCTTGATTAAAGAGTGATTGAGTGATTTACTGAAGTAATATTACAGATCATGACATCAAGAATAGACTTCACATGTTGCAACCATATGAACAGTCACACCTGACACACCTTGGGCATAGCATAATTGAAGTCCAAGTATCATATTGAGGAAGCACTTCTATTACATTGCAAAACAAAACAGATGACATATTCTGCATCACTGTTCTAAATACCTTTGTAAAATTCCACCTGGCAATAAAATGCCTAGCTATATCCCGGGCGCCCTTCCCGTACACAACAGCGCCGATGTCGTGCCACGGCATGCGAGGGGTGACGTTGCGGTCAATGAAATCTAGAAAACAGAAGAAATTGTGTGGCAGATGAATGAGGTCCTGTTGAGGTCCTATCAAGAAAATGAAAGTTCACAAGTGCTATAAATATAAACTGATGATGTCCCAGAACTAAGACAGGTCAGGAGTGAGTGAGTGAGTTTAGTTTTACGCCACACTCAGCAGTATTCGAGCTATATGGCGGCGGTCTGTAAGACAGGTCAGGAGTGAGTGAGTGAGTGAGTGAGTTTAGTTTTACGCCGCACTCAGCAATATTCCAGCTATATGGTGGCGGCCTGTAAGACAGATCAGGAAGTAGTCATCAGCAAGGGTGATGTGTTCCAGTATAGATGCTCATACATTATTTGCCTCATGCCTGTATTCATCATCAGAAGGACCCTTACAACACTGCAAACCTGTTAATCTCCTCACCTGCATATGGGGAGTGGAGTTCCACAAAGTCCTTATGGATGAAGTTGACGTAGTCCTTCCCGATCCACAGCCTGGACGACCCTTGGAGTCCTTTCTCTGCTATGTCCTGCTCACTCTTCGTCCTCTGGATGTCAGGCGGCAGCTCCATGCGAAGGTCAAAGCTGGAGTGAACAAGGTCAGGCTGTTACAGTGGAATGTCACTCAGCATCCAGAAGGTTCATGCCGCTTTGATTCTTATCTCAGTTACAGAAGTGTATCAGTGAAGGTGGAAACAGCTCTGTCAGGTCATTCAGAATGTGTAGTAGATATGTAACACTACGAACAAGACTTAATTAGCTGAAAGAAGAATTCACTTTGAGCAAAGTTTGCAATTCTTCTTGTACTACATAAATCCACCTACCTTCCTGCTCTTTCACGAAATTTGCTCATAAGCTGAAAAAGAACAGACATAAGTATAAATTAACACCAATACAATATTGGAATTATCCTATACAGATTATTAAAACAGTTCTTTTTCCAAAAACAGTTGAGCATATATTTAAATTTCTCTTAATACACAATGAAATAAGATCAATAAAAAACTCACAAAATGTTTTCGCTTTTTCTTTGTATCGCCCATCAACAGCTCTCTGGGTATTCTTTCAGGGACTTGATTTTTTCGGACAACTGATTCAAACTTCTGCACATGAAACACCATCTTCCATCTTCTCCGAGCACTAGGGTTGCTGGTAGGGCTTCCAGGTGGTTCGTCCCTGTCATGTGAACTTCCCTTGTTGTTATTCTGTTCTGCTCCCATCAACTTGTGGACGGCTTTTAACCTGACTGCTGTACTGAGCATATCCGGGACATCAGTGCCAGTTTTCCCGATTGCTTTATCTTGAGCACTTCTCTGTTCGCCACTAATCAGTTCTGTCTCGGAATTATGAGATCTGTTGGAAGTGTCACTGCTGGCGCTATTTCTTTGTCTTGCATTAACATGCTGAACAGTTTCAGGCACTATAACATCTCCTGTATCCATGGCATAAGACTTTTTTAATTTCGCTGCACAGAGTTGCGTCCCTTGGTGAGTTTCACTAAAACATTAACAATCTTAGCCCTGCATCAATGATACGTTAAATGGATATGCCATGACGTCAGGTTCTCCATATTTCCTCATCTCCACCCTCAGGAAAAATAGGGCTTTCACTTATTGTGTAACTTTAACAATTTAATGAAACCATAAAAGTTGACTTATAATATTTTAAATGAATCAAATTCACTGACATGATGTGTAGCATCAACATATAATATGAAAAGTAACTATTTGTTTATACTTATACAGTGTCATTTTTCATTATTTGTTCCAAATGAATAATAGCAATAACGTCAGCAAAACAATATCAACAACAAAGATAATATTTTCTTTCAGCTCATTTGCCACACTTCTCATGAGCGGCTCACCTCTGTGGTATCTGTGACAGCCGACTCCTCCGGACGGATGCTGACGCAGGAGGCATTCACATCAGAGGAAGTCTGCATCAGATCTACTGAGCCAAGGTCCTTCAGTCTGAAACAGACATGTGAGTCTGTGAAATGATTCCTCTAAAGTCCAACACTCACAATAAACATTCAAGGACGTCTACGAAGTCTATGTGTTCCTTGTGTTACCTGCACACCATTTTGTTTTAGCATACCATGTTCAACAACTGAGTAAACATTGTACGATCTACATTCCATAAACAGGTAATAGAGCATAAGACATATCAGTAATTCGTAATAAGTTTAAACCTGGAAATCTATAAAAATTCAAGATGTTTCAGGACTTCTAAACAGTTTTCTAAGAAGCCAGCATGTCACGTGTCTTCACATACCTGTGTTTCTCATCATCCCAACGACCATAGCAGAGATCTATTCCTCCCAGGAAGGCCACTGATTGGTCAATGACCACCAACTTCTCGTGATGTGCCCACAACAATACACCGTTGGCGCCATGATCAGGATGGCGTAGAACCTACCAACATGCCATGCTGTGGTGTAACTGTGTCACAAGTCTTTGTCATTTACACCATAGGACCTTTATATGGTTAGTAGCCAGAGACCTGTCTTATATATATATATATATATATATATATATATATATATATATATATATATACTTACTCGGATAATTATGCAATGACTGACAGATCTGATCATTAAAGAATGTCAGGTTTTAGTTATAAATTGTAAGCAATATTCTGCACCACTAAAGGGATATTCTAACCATCATCTAAAGTCCTATTGTGATAATGTTTTAATACAATTATGAAATTAGAATCCTTTAGAATCAAACTGTAATATGTCGATCATGATGGCCATTTCAAGTCACTGGAGTTGACTGATTGGGCTGGGTTTACAGATAGTGGGTTTATAGGTGGAGGGTTTACAGTTGGAGGGTGGACAGTTGTGTGGACAGTTGGAGTGTGGACAGGTGTGTGGACATACCCTGATGTTCTCTGTGTTCCTGTTCATGAGGATGTGTTTGCTGTATCTGCTGTTGATCTGCAGGGCCAGCTCCACTTCCTTGTACAGCAGAATGTACACCTTCACCCCCATCTCCTGCACAACAACAACAACCATGCTTAGTTTCACTCACCTGGTACCCACCATGATGTCGCTGCATCGGTACATGTGTTTAGAAACAGAGGAACCATACACATGGAAATATACTGAGGAGATATTACATGTTTAACATAGGAGATTTGCAGACACACTGCCCCTCTCACTCACTGCTTTCCTCTGCAGGATGACATCCAGCCTCCATTTGTCACCTTCTGACATCGGTCGCTTCATGTAGATCTCTGGACTCAACCTACAGAACAGATGTATAGACTCAACGTACAGAACAGACAGCAAGACACAACCTACAGAACAGACAGCAAGACTCAACCTACAGAACAGACAGCAAGACAATGTACAGAACAGACAGCAAGACAACGTACAGAACAGACAGCAAGACACAACCTACAGAACAGACAGCAAGACAGCTGGGTCTGGAACAGCAGGACAGACAACGTACAGAACAGACAGCAAGACTCAACATACAGAACAGACAGCAAGACTCAATGTACAGAACAGACAGCAAGACACAACCTACAGAACAGACAGCAAGACTCAACCTACAGAACAGATGTAGAGACTCAACGTACAGAACAGACTCAACCACAGGACAGACAGCAAGACAACGTACAGAACCAATAGTGAAACACACCAAGTCAGCTTGAAAAATTTATGTAACACGCAATATAGTTGATACTCCATTCAAGTAAACTTTTGTATTTGTTGAGTATTTGTGTAGGTTCACTGCTGATTCCTGACTCAAGCATCAGTAACTCACCACCAGTCAGCTATGAAGATCTCCTCCTTGGCCTTCTCTAGAGCATCGGCAACAGCTTCAAAGTAGGAGGATGCATCCACAAACCTGTCACAATCAATATCAATCTGCTGACATAGGTCTAACCAGTGAAGGTGTGTGTGGGGTGACATGTCTACATACTGCAGCTATATCATCAGATGACACCAGAATGGCATAAAAAGCACTGCAGCAAGTACACTCTAACTTCAGCGGCAATGAGCTAGAAGATCAATCATGTTGGACCTTCCATGGATTTGATGTACATGATAATCAATGATTCTTGACTTGTCATTAATGGCCCTTGGCAAAAGGGCAGATCTGAATGTTTCCGGAAATGCAGATTTAAAAGCTACCAATGCTAATGATTTTACATTTTTAACGATAGATCCATGTCCGATCTGTAGTTGTAATCAATCTGACAGTTGTCAGTGACATCCCAGACCATCTTACCATCTGGCATAGGAATCCTCCCTGAGAGGGGCGTAGGACTGGAAGCGGTTCACCTGGGTGCTAATCACGGGCTGTGGAAAAAGGCCCGGTCCTCCAGGCACTCCTTCCACCCGGGCTTTGCGGACGTCAACCACTTGATCAGTAGCTTCCTGGGGACAGACAGGAACTCATGCTGTAGTTTAGATGGGAACAAACAGATTGATACACAACTTAACTCCCAATGCATAACACCTGTATGTACCTGTTGAGATTCGAGATGAGAACGCCATGCGGGGCACCTGTTGATGCCATCCCACACTGAACGTTGAACTCTGAGTCCATCAACATGACATCACTGACGGCGCCATCTTCAGGTCGGATGTAGGCCACGAAATTGTCCTTGATCACAAGCCACCTGAAACACAGTGAGTGAGTGAGTGAGACACGCATCTTAACAACCATAGAAAACTCTCAACTAGGCGGATTAATGAATACATAATGCTGTTTAGAAATGGTCAAATGTAACCTGTCATATCTGGGATCACACTTTCTCAGTAAAGTACATTTTCTAGTGCTTTTGTTAGGTTGAATCTCATCTGGATATCGAACCCACACCCCCAGAGTCAGGCACCTAATCACCAGGACACGAGGTCAACCATCTAACCCACTAAGCCTCTACAAATATGGAAGTCGGACATCTGGTAGTCTAGATCATGTACTCTTTGTGTACCCCTCTGACAAGTGTAAAGTGTCACTGCTCCCATGACTGAAAGCTATGAATACACAATGCCACTTAGAAAAGAGTCTGGGTTCAAATCCCGAATGGGACTCAACCGAACAGTTGATGAAATCTGTCAGATAATCACCATGGTCTTTAGTAGTAATAACCAAATACAGAATTTTTAGGTTGGCAATATTGAGGAGGAAGGAAGCATTTTATCTAAATACATCTTAATCATAAATTTGATTTCTTTCACTCAAAATGACAGGATCATGGAATGATCTATTCCAAGTCCCGGCCAGGTGGACTTTGCTGAGGCAACCACAACAACCAATGTTAATCCTACGCCCGCCGGAACACTTCTTGATCAAACCCTCCTTCCCCTTGCGACCAAGCTTGTTGATGAAGGACAGAGGACTCACTTCAAAGAAACGCATCTGGAACAGAGAGGAACTAATCACATCTGCAGACTGGGTTAAACAGGGTCAGGAAAAGCCTGTCAAAATCTTTGAACAGCAGATTGAAACTGTATCTTAGTCGTGGATCACCTTAATACATAGAAAGACTTGTTGTTAGGAAAACATTCTACGTTCTGAAATAAACTTGTCTTGTTAAATTTATGAGTCTTTTTAAAATTTGTAAACAGGATAAAACACTAGAATTAATAGGTAATTTTTAGAGTAAAATTGATATTTTATACTTATCTGACTCATGCTCTTTTTTGCTTGTCTTCTTCTTCTTTAGAACATGGTGGAAACACTTGTATCTCCTTAATTGAAGCTCCTTCAATGTAAAATCACTAATTAGTACTCACCACGAGCTGCTCCCCTTTAATCCTTTTTTGGCGGAAAGGTGTGGCCACCCTACACCTCGTGCTTCACTCTCTCCTGATTTTGTGAGCCCAACACTTGAATTTCACGGGGAAATCCAAAGTGTTATGTGGGGAGGATGGGAGGAGCTGACCTCATGAGTCAGGATAAGTATAAAATATCAATTTTACCCTAAAAAATTACATATTTTCCTTATCCTGACTCATGCTCTTGCTTGTAGAATCCTACGGAACGGAGGAGGAGTAATAGAATACTTTGGATTTATAATTAGTGATTTTTGTATAAATATAACTGTAATAACCGGTATAGGAACTTCATGAAGGCATTGACTTAGGATATTTCCTGTATATAAACCATGGTTATATAATGCCATAAATGGGTATTACATTGATATATACTGAAAAACCATTACATATATTATATATATATATATAAGTGACTCTGATAGAGTCGCTGTACAACTAAACATAATGTCAATATATACTTAGGGGTGAATAACCTAAGGTAAATATATACATAGCTCTAGAACTCCTTAGAGTTATAAGCTAGCTAAATTATGTATATAATACATATTAAACTTGTGATGATAATATTTAACGCCTACGAGGGACTGTCAGCTGTTGAGCGAGGACCAAAGGGCCGAAATGGTGAATGCCAGAGACATCTTCTGTGGTGATGTCTCTCAGGTAGTGATTCGCAAACACCATGTTCGATTTCCAAAAGCATCCTTCCATAATTGTGTTCAAAGAACAGTTACCGTGCAGGGCGAGGGTGGAAGCCAGTGCCCTAATCTCATGCAGATTTGATGCTGTTGGTGGGTCCAAGCCTGCTGCCTTGTAGGCTGGCATGACAGTCCTTATCCAAATAGATATGGTAGTACGCAGACTTCTGTTTGATTCGTTGGCGATAAGGGATGAATAATCTTTGAGAAATCTTAAGCCTTGTTTTGGATCGACGTAAGTAAACTTTGAGAGCTCTGACTGGACACAGTGATAAGTCTTGTGTATCTTGTGATCCGAGAATCGAGGATAGCGCTGGTACATGGAATAACCTGTCTGGTTGACCTGGTAGTTGATTTTTGGCGATGAAATCCCATCTTAATCCCAGGTGCGCTATGTTTTGATTGTCATCAAACTGTATTCTCTCGTAATCCAGAGCGTGAATTTCAGATATTCTTGCTGCCGTGGCTAGAGATAGTAGAAATAGTGTTTTCTGTGAGAGAAATTCAAAGTTTGTCGATTCCAAAGGTTCATAGGCCTCACTAGTGAGGTGTAGTAACACTATATTCAGATCCCAAGCTGGGGTGTGGAACTTCCGCTTTTGGTCCTCCAATCGGAAAGCACGTAGTAAGGCCAGATTTTGTCAGCTTGACACCCGTTCTCATAGTGATCACAGAGCTAAGCGCGGCAAGATATGTTGATATCGTCGAACCTCTTAAATGTTTGTTTTGCCGCCCTGATAGAATATCCTCTCTTGTTTAAACACATTTGTATACAGTCCATACGTGAAGTTGGTAAACTTCTGGGTTACCGTGCACCTGTTTCCTGTGTGGATGTATTAACAGGTTTGAGCGCTTGGGTAGCTCTAATACTGGTTGACCGATTTCTTGAATTAGAATGGGAAACCATACTCTGGCTGGCCAGTAGGGCGCGACCAAAGTGAGTTGTAGACTCTGTGTTTGTTTGATTTTCTGTAATACTTGGGGTATTATTGCTGGCGGCGGAAACGCGTACGCGTTGAGGCCTTCCCATGATATACTTAGAGCGTCCGTTTCCCAAGCTTGTGGATCTGGGATTGGTGACACGAATGTCGGTAGCTGATTGTTGAATCTTGTGGCGAATAGATCTATTAGCGGCGCTGCTAACGGCTTGATTATCTGTGCAAATATTTCCGTATTGAGCATCCATTCTGTCGGTGATGGTAGATGAGGCCGAGAGAGCGCGTCTGCTAGTACATTTCTGGCTCCCGGAATGTGAACTGCTCTGATCTGTAGATTTAGATCGTGGGTTAGATCGAATAGTTGAAAGCTTAAGTTCAAAAGGTTCAGTGATCTCGTTGAGCCTTGCTTGTTCACGTAGAACGCCACTGTGGAATTGTCGGTATGAATCATAAGGTGCGCATTTTGTAGAAATGTGCTCCAATGTAGAATGGCGTTGATTACAGCTTTCATCTCTAGGATGTTTATATGGAGTTTGCTTTCTTGTTGGTTCCATAATCCCGATGTCGTCTGGTTGGCGAGATGAGCTCCCCAACCTTGAAGTGACGCGTCCACATATAGATGGGTTTTGAATTCCTGCTCTGCTAAACAAATCCCTTCGCAGACATTCGATTTCTTTGTCCACCATAGTAGATGAGGTCTGAGATGTTTCGGTAGACTGAATGGCTGTAAATCGTCGAGATGTGCATTGATGAAGACCTGTAAGGGACGTAACTGTAACCTGCCTCTGACTGTCATGTCTTGGGCTGATGTGAGGAGACCTAGGAGGCTCTGCCATTGTCGAAGTGGTATCGGAGAGAGTAGAGCTGGTGGAATGGTCTGTTGGATCTTGCTCCAACGGTCTTCGGGTACGACGATACAGTTGAGATTTGTGATAAATCGAATGCCTAGGAACTGTAGGTCTTGTGACGGTACTAGGTCCGACTTGAGTAAGTTTACTAACCATCCTAGCTGTGTTAGTAGCTTTATGGTGTAGTTTAACTGTAGTTTGAGATGCTGTGGATCTTGATCTACTTGTATCCCGTCGTCGAGGTAAAACGCACTGCGTAGCCCTTGATGATGAAGATAGGTGATAATCGGTTTCGTTATCCTCGTGAAAAGCCAGGGGGCTGATGATATTCCGAATGGGAGCACTTTCCACTGGTAATGTTGCCCGTCTAAAGTAAACCGTAGGTATTTCCTGGCTTTGGAGTGTATCGGGATGTGCAGGTAAGCGTCCTGTAGATCGATACTGCCCATGTAGTCCATGGGGCGAATCAACTGCCGTAACTGAGGTAAATGTATCATGTCTTGTATCAGTTCTTGTTGAAAAAGCTCATGTTGTAGATGAGTCTGTATTTTTCCTTGGAGTTTTTCTTGGGAACTAGGAAAACTGGGGAGTAGAAACCTGGTTCTATGTTGTCTTGGTCTAGTACTTCTATGGCCTGCTTTATTAGGAGTGATGTAACAGCCTCTCTTAACTTCGGTAGTTGTTGTGCCTGTAAGTCGAACTTGTGAGGGTTGACTGTCAGCGGAGGCTTGGCCTTTAGTGGGATACGAAATCCGTGACGAAGAATGTTGGAGACATAAGGGTCTTGTAACATTCCCCAGTTTTCCCAGTATAGTTGGAGGCGTCCACCCACTTGAGATGGTTGTACTGGAACGGCTGGGGGTGGAAGACTCCAGTCGTTCCGAACCTGTCTTTCAGCGTTTATAGTTGCGGGAACCTCTGGGTGTCCTGCCTCTTCCTGATCCTCCTCTATAGTTGCCGAATGGGCGACGAAAAGAATCTTTTCCTCTAGAGCTGGCTATCTTCCTGTCTCGTGCTCTCTGTAGGCCCGTGAATTTAGATCTTCCTGAGTATCTTTGTGAAGTCTGTCGAATGACGCTGGCTAGTGTGTCCATCGATTTAATCATAAGGACTTCTCTGGAATCCTTAGTGACTTCCTTGGGAAACTTTGTCTATTTCTCCGTTAAAGATGGATGTTGAAGACCACGGGGCTGTATACAGTGGGGCTGTAAAGTTCTCACCCCAGTTGCAGGAAGCGAGGAGGCCTTGACGACGAGCTAAGGTCAGTGCTGCTGAAATAGATGTAAGATGATCTGTTAGGAACTGCTGGTCTTTCTTTTGCATAAGTAAGGCAGAATAAATCATTCTATCATCCTCAGAAGTCGTATCACGAAATCTGGTGATAAGAGTCTCATTGATCGTTCTAGATCTATTTAAACCAAAAAACATACGTCTCGTCATGGTTTCTATCTGGACTAACTTGCGATCATCAATCTTGTAATTCTTGTACTTGACATCGTTGATCAACTTATAGTTCTCATCGATGTCTTGAGCTTTGAAGAAGGGGTCCATGTTATGCGTGGAGAACTTCTTGGCATGAAAGTTTGGTAGATGTGGTGTCTGAACTTTCGTGGCTTTGTGGAATGCTGCATCTAGATTCTGTGGGACTGCTGCAATCGGGTCGATCGGTGGTAGTGTGATAGCATCTGCATCGTCTTCTTTCATCAGATATGTCTGCGCCACATTGCCATTTTTTAGATGGTGATGAGAGATCTAGGTTATTGACCATCCAATACCGTATCTCAGCATCGGGAAATAACTCCTCCATCATCCTCTATACCATCATCATTGATGAGAGGTTGGTGCTGCTCTGGACTGCGTGCTTCTGTCTCTACGTCCGGCGATGCTTGTGCAGCTCTGTATGGTGACCTGTAAGGTGATCTACGTGGTGATGAACGAGGAGGAGATCGTCTCGGTGATCTACGTCTATGGGTTGATCTTCTCGGTGACCTGTGAGGAGAACGTTGATAGCTTCGCGAAGCTCTTGTGTAGTCCCTCGATGTCCTTCTAGATGATGATGATCTGGATTCAGCTGCCCTTCGCGAATGCCTTCGCGAAACTTCCTCTGCGTCCGGTCCGGGGGAATTACGATAAGACCTTGGCGAAGGCTTTCGTGATGTCTGATGGTCCGAGTCCACATCTTGGGATGAAAGTGACGAGGGTGATGATCTATCCCGCCTTCGCGAAGGCCTTCGCGAAGGCTGTACATCTAGGTCCTTCGTGGAGGTGGTCCGTGCCTTCCTTCGCGAAGGTGACATCGTCCTGGCTGCTACGTTGACAGGGGGTGCCTCTGGGGTGCTGTCTACGTTGGAGCCTTCGCAAAGGCTCGGTCCTTGCTTCTGCAGTCTATATCGGTCTTCCATCATCGTCATAATTTGCTGCATCAGGTCATCAGGGACGATGTCGTCTGAGCCTTCTCTGCGGTGTTAATGATGGGGTCCACAGCAATAACGTCTGACATCAGTGTAGAGGCATCAGGCTGCATGGAGATCTGTGCTGAAGTCACTGTCGCTGACACCGGTCGCTTCTTGTGCCGTATGTCGGGGATGATAATCGGCTGGTCATCGTAGAGGCCCATTTCTTCGGCTGGAACGATCTCGGCTGAGAAGGTTCTCGCTGTCTTCGTAGACTTCCCTTTGGATGTCGACGCTGCCCTGGGGGTACGAAGTCTGCGTTGAGAAGACGTCGAGGCCACTTGGACTTTAGCTGCGATGACGTTATGTCTGGGGAGGCCGGTCGCTTCTTAGAGGTGACGGACTGCGTCCCACGTCCCTCTTCCGATGGGGTCTCTAGCAGAACACCAGACGGTAGGGGGTCGATCGCCAGCAGCTGACTAGATGGAGTATCTGGAGTATCAGCCATATTTAGCCCTTGTTTGCGTGACCTATCTGCAGCACGTCTTAAGACGCAAAGATAATATTTATTAAATGCAGAATTAGATAAATTAATGCAATAACTGCAACGTGAATCAAACGCACACGGCGTAGAACAACTAGGGCATATTACATGCGGATCTGAGGCAGAAAAACGTAATCTACAAATAGTACAGATTTTCATCAACGTAATACTAGCTGAACAATCACGAATAACCGTGAATAAACAGTAGAAATACGATAAATAACCAATACAAATTACTGAAGGATACTAGCTATACCTTTATAGTAAACTATAAGAGGTAATAAACTAAGAAATATCAAAGGATATGTTGTGTAAGGAGACACAGGCGCTCTCACATCCTGCTCACTGGGCGAAGAAGGAGAGAGTGAAGCACGAGGTGTAGGGTGGCGACACCTTTCCCGCCAAAAGGGATTAAAGGGGAGCAACTCGTGGTGAGTACTAATTAGTGATTTTACATTGAAGGGAGCTTCAATTAAGGAGATACAAGTGTTTCCACTATGTTCGCAAGAAGAAGAAGACAAGCAAAAGAGCATGAGTCAGGATAAGGAAAAATAATAAGTCTGTATATATAAAGATCTTTTGTGTTAGTAGGTTTCAATCAGCACCCAGGAGCACAACTCAGCCAAGTTTATACTAAAAGCCATGATTCTTAGAATAGTATGAATTACTGCTTTTATCTCTAACACAAATCATGTCAGGCTAGGACAGATTAAAAACATTTTTTCCTGCTGCATGTATGTTGTTGTGAGCGTGAATGTCTGTGATGGTACTCACAGTCTCGGAGTGGTTCTTGAACGACTTGCACTTGAGGAGGCTGCACAGGTACTTCTCCAGCTGGGTCTGGAACAGCAGGACAGACAGTTACAGCAACTCCATCAACATGAGCAATGTAATATCAAATTTGTTTGCTCCCATCCGTTACCTCTCCTGACATACCTTACAAACCCTAAACAGGTCAGGTCAGGTAAACCCTGAAAAAAATCAACAAACAATGCAGGGTTGCTTCCAGCCAATCAGGTGTCAGCTCTCTCTCAGGTTTTGGGGATTTATTACAATATTACACTTTGGTAATCACCCCCGGTGTCAGTCATGACTCCTGGCACACCAATGGACTGACAGTAGTACTTCTGCCAATATTGTCGACGTCAGTGACATCATTCAGTGTATTAATGGAATAGAGTGAGTGAGTTAGGTTTTACGCCGCTTTTGCAATATTCCAGCAATATCATGGCGGGGGATACCAGAAAAGGGTTCACACAATGTAGCCATGTGGGGAATCGAACCCGGGTCTTCCGTGTGAAGAGTGAACGCCTTAACCACTTGGCTAGCCCACCACCCTCAATGGAATATAACTCCAAGTCTTTCATCAGCCAATCAGGAAACAGTCATCTATGGCCTGATTTCATCTGTTTTATTGAAAAATCAACACACAAAAACAGAATGGCATGCAGTAGATGCAGCCTATTTATTACAGTTTATTTTGGATGACCCAAAGATACCAGATTTGTCTTTCTGCTAGATTTACATTTTTAACAATTATCACTTAATGTTTGTTTGTCGCCGCACTCAGCAACTTTTCATCAATATGGTGGCGATCTGTAAATATCTGAATCTGGACAAGACAATACAGTGATCAATAATAATAATAATAATAGTGAATTTATATAGCGCATTAATCCATGCACAATGCATGCTCTAAGCGCACATATATGTGGGTATTAAGAGTAATTCTAGAAAGGCACTATTAAATAAGTAAGTCTTTAGCTCGGATTGGAAGGAGGCAAGAGATGAAGACTGTCTGAGATTGACTGGGAGATCGTTCCATTCCTTTGCTGCACTGAAAGCAAAGGAACGTTGTCCATAGTTCACAGATTTGACAGATGGAACTTGCAACAGGAGCTTGTTTTCTGACCGCAGTGATCGAGCTGGTTTGTACTCTGTGATCAAATCACACAGATATTGTGGAGCATCTTCAGACAGGCATCGATACACATGACACAAGATCTTATAGCTGATTCTCTGTCGGATGGGCAGCCAGTGTAAGTCATGTAAGATGGGGGGGTGATATGGTCGTACTTCCTGCAGCTGGAGACTATCCGAGCAGCTGTATTCTGGATGTGCTGTAGTTTGTTGGTAACAGACTTGGGTGCACCGGCAAGGAGGCTGTTACAGTAATCAATCCTAGATGTTACCAGGGTGAGAATCAGGATGATAAGTGATTCTTTGGTCAGGTACTTTCTGATGTTGCTGATATTCCTCAGTTGGAAAGAGCAAACTCGGGAGATGTGGCTGACATGTTGCTTCATGGACAGTTCTGAGTCCAAAACAACACCCAAGTTCTTCACAGAACGAGTGACATCAATACTTGAGCTTCCGATCTGAACTACGGTGAGACCTGACTGGGTACATCTTGCAGATGGGCCTATTAGCATGCACTCCGTCTTGTCGTCATTAAGCTTGAGTTTATTGATGTTCATCCATTCTTTTATCTGTGTACAGCAGTTGGTAACATCGGCAGAGGCTGCTTCTGCTATGGATGCTATTGGTCGAAATATTTTAATGAGCTGCGTATCATCAGCGTAGAGGTGTCTTGGCAGCTTGTGCTGGTCGATGACTTGACCCAATTCCTTGGTATAAAGAGTGAATAATATCGGGCCCAATACTGAACCTTGAGGCACACCGCAGTTTAGATGTACTGAATCTGAGAACTGTCCATCAATGTACACACACTGTGATCTCTGAGACAGATAGGAGCTAAACCAATTCAGTGCAGATCCTTGGACACCAAAATCGTCCTGAAGTCGCTGCAGCAGTCTTTGGTGGTCGATGGTGTCGAAAGCCGCGCTCAAGTCCAAGAGAACGAGCAGAGCAACATTCCCCGAGTCGATGGCACATCTCAGGTCATTGACGACAACAGCATGAGTATCAATTTATCACTTAATGAGATGTCCCCAAGAATTTCAAATGTGAAAATTATAAAGAAATCTGAAGAACTTTTCTGCAAGGGATCAGAGGACCATGATTGCAAGTGACCTCTGTGCTGTCATTATTTACGCACATTTGAAATCTTTCAGACATGAAACATTATACAAGCATTCCCTTCTTTCACTCCATGAGTTGGATGCTGTAACGTTACCATGCGGTCTTGGATGTTGTTTTCACTGACGAGGTAGTCAGGTCTGAGGGGGAAGCGGACGCTGACGCGGTGGTCCTGTTTCATAGTCTTGCGTCTTTCTCGATACCTGCAAGTGGGATTGTAGCTCTGTGTAAGTTGAGTCATGGCCAAACAACAAACAACATTCATTGTCTTTGGGAAAAATATTAATTTGATTTGAGATGAAAATCTTTTGTAGAATATTAAGTATTCTTATATTTAATATATCAATTTAAACTTTCTTATTTTAATCGTTATTTGTAAGAGAGTTCACGGACACATTTCCTCTCATTTTCAGACTGTGCAGGAATCCTGTCACCTGTGATGATGTACGAAGTGAGTTGTGTTTAATAATTCCTCTGTAAACCATGTCAGTGTTGTATCTGCCAGTGTGCAAGCAGTGTTTTGCGGTAGATAGTTTTGTCTGCCAGTTCAGCAGTGAGTGAGTGAGTGAGTGAGTGAGTGAGTCAGGTTTGACCCCCTGGAACCACGTCAGTATCAAGCTTGATGAACATATACTGGACAAAAATAGTTAGGGATATATGTAAATTTTGAAATTATGAATAATGATTTATTTATTCATTGACACACTGATAAAGTATCAATTATAAAAACATAAATATCCCTAAGTTATTTTGTCCAGTATAGTTTGGGATAGCTTGTTTTGTCTGCTAGATTAGCACTGGTGATATTAGATGATAATGGAATCAAACTTTGAAGTGTGACCTACATATGTGGTGACAGTGGTTACCATGGTAATATATCATGGATTGTATCTAATGTTATAGAAGCCTCACCACCCTGACCAACACATTCAAACAGAACTTGGTCATGTCGGAATATTCATGAAGTCCTCTACTCCATCACAAGATGGTGCCACGTGGACGACACAGGTGTCGTGGTGATGCATCAGAGCAAGGCTGCTGATACTATTTCCAAATGGTACATGACATACATATATATCAAACCCACCTAGCTTCTGGTCAAGCCTTACTGTGGAGATGGAGTGGGGTTGTGGTTGGGGTGGGTGGAAAATGTGGCAGGGTGGTAAGTGGGTGTAAGGGAGATGGGGTGGGGATGGGGCACTCTCCAGCCAGACATTCTGACTACTTCACCACAGAGGCAGTCTGACCAATCTGGGATAAGTGTAGGGTGTCAAATATCAAGTTTGTCTGACAAGTAATGTAAAGATGAATAGATGGCAAGCAGGAAGTGTAAAAGTAAATTGATAAAAGAGAAGAAAAACGGCCTGAGATAAATAAAAGTTGCTTAATGGGAATTGATCATCAAACAATGTCACAGATAATGAAAACTTCACCCTGATCAATATCATGACAAAATATGAAACTGAAAGATTGATATATATTTACAACAAATACAATATTTTTAAAATAACCAACATTCAAATATATTTCCCTGTTTTAGTACAAATGACACTGAAACTAAAACCATATTTATTTCCTCTGCCATGGATACTGAACTTTATACAGTGATACAAGTAGAGCTTACCAATATTGGGATAATACACCCCCCACCCCCAAACCATTCTGCCTGTTAAATCTTTCAATATTCTCATATTCAAAGATTGCACAAGAATCTCTGTACAACCTTATTTCTTGTTGAGATTACAAAACTTTATTGATGACCAACTTCTTTGTTTTGACAATGGTGACGTTTCGGTATAGATCCTTATACCGTTTTCATGCATGCTTGTTTTTGGATGCTTGAAAACGGTATAAGGATCTAGACTGAAATGTCGCCATTGTTAAAATAAAGAAGTTGGTCATCAATAAAGTCTTGTCATCTCTATACCACTAACTTCTAGAATGCCACTCAAACAAATCTTCTGTCTTGTTTTTCTTCACTAGTTCCAGCTAATTAATGGAGGGTACGATTGTCAGGTTTGACGAGGGTGGGTTGATATCGTTACCAGGTCAACCAGGTCTCAACATGTGTAGGGTCCTCGGTCTGATTGCATTAGCTAACGGTAGTTAACGAGTTGCAGGTAAGATTACAGGTGCAGATTATAAACAACCGCTCACCTAGTATAGGTGGTAAAGTTGAGTAAGGTAACTGATATTGGCAGCTTGGCAACACGCATGTACCGAGCAACAGTAGCAGAAGGTAAATGTCTCTCCTTACACTATAAGTGGCACAAATACAGTAACTGACTACTGAGTTTGGTTTCGCCAAATGAATCACTATATACAGATTTGGGTATTGTTCATGGCAGGTGTTGATGTATTAGACAGCAGATTCTTTGGACCACACTTTTTCAAGATGGCACAAAAGAATAAAGCACTCTAAATATTTTGTTAATATTGTACTTCCCAACTTCTAAAAGGAAACTCAAAGAAGCTAAAATGACACTGGACAATGAAACTGGCACATTAGCTCAAACAGTGTGTAACATTACAGGTTTGTACAGCTGATATGGTCATTATCAAATATTCACAAAGCAAGTACTATTATTTGAATAAGTGTAATATTCCATGACTGTCCAGGTAAATAAGCCATTCCACCAGTTGAGTGTTATAACCCATGTTTGTACAGGTCTAATTGGTCATTCCACCAGTTGAGTGTTATAACCAATGTTTGTACAGGTCTCATGGTCATTCCACCAGTTGAGTGTTATAATCCATGTTTGTACAGGTCTAATTGGTCATTCCACCAGTTGAGTGTTATAACCCATGTTTGTACAGGTCTAACTGGTCATTCCACCAGTTGAGTGTTATAATCCATGTTTGTACAGGTCTCATGGTCATTCCACCAGTTGAGTTTTATAACCCATGTTTGTACAGGTCTAATTGGTCATTCAACCAGTTGAGAGTTATAAGCCATGTTTGTACAGGTCTAATTGGTCATTCCACCAGTTGAGTGTTATAATCCATGTTTGTACAGGTCTCATGGTCATTCCACCAGTTGAGTGTTATAACCCATGTTTGTACAGGTCTAATTGGTCATTCAACCAGTTGAGTGTTATAAGCCATGTTTGTACAGGTCTAATTGGTCATTCCACCAGTTGAGTGTTATAATCCATGTTTGTACAGGTCTAATTGGTCATTCCACCAGTTGAGTGTTATAACCCATGTTTGTACAGGTCTAATTGGTCATTCAACCAGTTGAGTGTTATAACCCATGTTTGTACAGGTCTAATTGGTCATTCAACCAGTTGAGTGTTATAATCCATGTTTGTACAGGTCTAATTGGTCATTCCACCAGTTGAGTGTTATAATCCATGTTTGTACAGGTCTAATTGGTATTCCACCAGTTGAGTGTTATAATCCATGTTTGTACAGGTCTAATTGGTCATTCCACCAGTTGAGTGTTATAATCCATGTTTGTACAGGTCTAATTGGTCATTCCACCAGTTGAGTGTTATAATCCATGTTTGTACAGGTCTAATTGGTCATTCCACCAGTTGAGTGTTATAACCCATGTTTGTACAGGTCTCATGGTCATTCCACCAGTTGAGTGTTATAACCCATGTTTGTACAGGTCTAACTGGTCATTCAACCAGTTGAGTGTTATAATCCATGTTTGTACAGGTCTCAATGGTCATTCCACCAGTTGAGTGTTATAACCAATGTTTGTACAGGTCTCATTGGTCATTCCACCAGTTGAGTGTTATAAGCCATGTTTGTACAGGTCTAATTGGTCATTCCACCAGTTGAGTGTTATAACCCATGTTTGTACAGGTCTCATGGTCATTCCACCAGTTGAGTGTTATAACCCATGTTTGTACAGGTCTAACTGGTCATTCAACCAGTTGAGTGTTATAATCCATGTTTGTACAGGTCTAATTGGTCATTCCACCAGTTGAGTGTTATAATCCATGTTTGTACAGGTCTAATTGGTCATTCCCATTGGTTAGGAGTGTTGTATGTGATTTTCCTCCAGTTAACAGGGATATGAAGACATAATGATCTGATGATGTCAACACTAGAGGTTCGATATAGCCCACAATTAGGCCATAAGCAATACTTTCGAAACCATTGCTACAGCCTTTAAAATTCCCGCCAGTCCTGTTACTAAGCATTAAACTGTAAAACTGTGCTGAAGACAACTAACATCTTTGATGGTAGTTCTAAATGACCAACAGCAATGGAAGGCTGCAATTCTGAACCAGATGTCAATGCTTCAATATTGCTACGAATTTGAACTGAATAAATCTGAAAGTTTCAACACAGTAAACATTTTTTACTAGCTGCACAGGTCTGGGAACTAGTGAAAAATGGTTACACTTGTCTTGTTTATAAACATTTAAACAACCTGAACAATCACCTTCACTCTATGACATGTCCCTGCTGAAAATGCAGCAAATCATCCTTCCATCGGTTAACATCGTCACTTGTGATGCTATCAGACAGTGAAGGGACCCCACACCCACCCATCAAACTAGCAGGTGCCCTGGGCACACCCACCCATTAAACTAGCAGGTGCCCCTGGCACACCCACCCATCAAACTAGCAGGTGCCCCGAGCACACCTTCCCATCAAACTAGCAGGTGCCCTGGGCACACCCACCCATCAAACTAGCAGGTGCCCCTGGCACACCCACCCATCAAACTAGCAGGTGCCCCAGGCACACCCACCCATTAAACTAGCAGGTGCCCGGGCACCCACCCGATCAAACTAGCAGGTGCCCTGGGCACACCCACCCATCAAACTAGCAGGTGCCCCCACCGGCACACCCACCCATCAAACTAGCAGGTGCCCTGGGCACACCCACCATCAATCAAACTCAGCAGGTGACCCTGGCACACCCACCCATCAAACTAGCAGGTGCCCCGGGCACACCCACCCATCAAACTAGCAGGTGCCCCTGGGCACACCCACCCATCAAACTAGCAGGTGCCCTGGGCACACCCACCCATCAAACTAGCAGGTGCCCCAGGCACCCACCCAACTAGCCCATCAAACTAGCAGGTGCCCCAGGCACACCCACCCATCAAACGATCAAACTAGCAGGTGCCCTGGGCACACCACCCATCAAACTAGCAGGTGCCCGGGCACACCCACCCATCAAACTAGCAGGTGCCCTGGGCACACCCACCGATCAAACTAGCAGGTGACCCTGGCACACCCACCCATCAAACTAGCAGGTGCCCCGGGCACACCCACCCATCAAACTAGCAGGTGCCCCGGGCACACCCACCCATCAAACTAGCAGGTGCCCTGGGCACACCCACCCATCAAACTAGCAGGTGCCCTGGGCACACCCACCCATCAAACTAGCAGGTGCCCCTGGCACACCCACCCATCAAACTAGCAGGTGCTCAGGCACACCCTCCTATCAAACTAGCAGGTGCCCCGGGCATACCCACCCATCAAACTAGCAGGTGCCCCTGGCACACCCACCCATCAAACTAGCAGGTGCCCCGGGCACACCCTCCTATCAAATAGTGAGGGGACCCCCCACACCCTCTATCAGGTGACCCCACACCCATATTTTATATGTAACTCTACCCCAGAAAGAGTTTTGGTTCTGTTTTATATAAACATTCAAACTATTCATTATTATACCAAGTTGTCTGAATAAAAACATATGAGACAGGTCACTGTAAAAACACAAGCTAATCATGCATTCTAAATATTCATTACACTATGGAATATATAAAAATACAATACCATATGTAATATCTAAGAGTCTAGCAACACTTCCATATGAAAGCATAGAGCATGCAGGGATATGTTGACCTTTAAACAGACACATAACTGAATACAGAATAATTGCAGCTATTATTTGTACTCTATCTGCCACACAATAGCATCTCGTAGCGGTATATGTCACAAGAAAATATATGAGTAATAAAAGTGATTTATAGAAATCAATAAAGGCCAAAGAACCTGAGCAAGGGAGTCCACGATCCGACATATCTGGAAGCAGAGCATCAGCAGCAGATGTAACTCACAACCACCTTCAGTAGTTGGTAAACACACTCATTATCTTAATCATATCAAGTCAACATTTTAAAGGCATCAATATCTTGCTATATATCCAACATTTATATAATCCAATCTGGAATAGAATGTTTTCTTACCTGATAGAATAACTATCACAGATTGTCAAGGGATTATATATAAACTAAAAGGATATTTTGGTGACTTGTGATTATAAAGGAAAACAAGGCATAGAAATAGAGACGTGCACCACCAAATCCTTGTCTGTACCTCACTGTGAGCGCCACATCCTTGGTTATAACATGGCTATGGATGCTTCATCTGAACAACACAGTCATGACCTGTAGTCATGGAAGCTGATGATGCTCACTAATATATATATATATGTATGTATGTATGTATGTATGTATGTATGTATGTATGTATGTATGTATGTATGTATGTATGTATGTATGTATGTATGTATGTATGTATGTATGTATGTATGTATGTATGTATTAGGGGTGTCACGATACACAATGTCACGATACGATACGTATCACGATTTTAAGGTCACGATACGATACGTATCACGATACATAATTTTCGCGCCTTTTCATAGCATTACCTTACCGACAACGTACGCGCTCGCTGATTGGTCCATCAAAATAGTCTAGCCAATCACAAAAGCTGTTAGTTTCCAACCTATTTTTTCAGTAAAGCTAGCTACATCTATTTATCGGAGCGGTCTCGTATAATTATACTATCAAGACTTTCAAGGAGATGGATATATACAAATTTGAATCGATAAAGTTTTAAAATAGGAATCGATACACGCAAGCATGTATCGCGTATCGTATCGTCAGTAAAAATGTATCAATGCATCGATACATTCGCGTATCGCGACACCCCTAGTACTGACTGACTGAATTTGGTTTTACGCCGCTTTCAGCAATATTCCAGCAACATCACGGCGGGGGACACCAGAAATGGGCTTCACAAATTGTGCCCATGTGGGGATTCGAACCCGGGTCTTCGGCGTGACGAGCCAACGCTTTAACCACTAGGCTACCCCACCGCCCCCGACACCCCTAGTATGTATGTATGTATGTATGTATGTATGTTTAGTACACTGGATTATTTCATGTTTGTTACTCAGAGTTTCATGCTATATATATATATATAGTCAGTGGTTTAAGAAAGCGATGCTTCACTCTTCCAAGGCCCAATCTTCCTCTATACTGACCCATTCTGACTAGCTTGACTAGTCCCTTATTGTGACTAGCCCCTAGTCCAACCAACCCCTTCTGTGATCACCCAATGTTAAACCAATTGCTATTCTGACAATTGCCAAGCTCAGCCTGCTCCTATTCTGATGTTCTCCTACTTTTACCGCCCCGTGAAGATCCGGGGTAGAATAGGTCTTCAGCAACCCATTCTTGTCATAAAAGGCGACTATGCTTGTCGTAAAAGGCAACTAACGGGATCGGGTGGTCAGGCTCGCTGACTTGGCTGACACATCATCGGGTCCCAATTGCGCAGATCGATGCTCATTCTGTTGATCACTGGATTGTCTGGTCCAGACTCGATTATTTACAGACCGCCGCCATATAGCTGGAATACTGCTGAGTGCGGCGTAAAACTAAACTCACTCACTCACTCCTACTTTTACCAATCCCTAGTTCACCTTGTTCATCCTTCCCCTGCTTCAACCAGCCCTGGTCTACCAATCTCCAATTTAACCATCTCTATCTCAATCAACCTCTATACTAGTCCAAACATTCCCATTTCATCTAACCTCCCATTCAATTCATCCCTAGTTCAACCAACCGCAAGTTCAATTCACCAATATTTCAACCAATCCCTAGTTTGGCTAACCCCTTGTTAAATCCAACCCTAATTGTCAACCCAAACTTCAACCAACCAGTTTAATCCACCCATTGTTTAACCAACCAAAAATTCAGCCAGCCCTATGTCAGCCCTACCCAAAGTTTAACCAACACCTAAGGTACTTGAACCAACTCCTAGCTTAGTCTACCCCTAGTTCAATCTACCCAAAGTTTAACCAACACCTAAGGTACTTGAACCAACTCCTAGCTTAGTCTCCCCTAGTTCAATCCACCCCAGTTCAATCTACCCAAAGTTTAACCAACACCTAAGGTACTTGAACCAACTCCTAGCTTAGTCTACCCCTAGTTCAATCCACCCCAGTTCCATCTACCCAAAGTTTAACCAACACCTAAGGTACTTGAACCAACTCGTAGCTTAGTCTATCCCTAGTTCAATCCACCCCAGTTCAATCTACCCAAAGTTTAACCAACACCTAAGGTACTTGAACCAACTCGTAGCTTAGTCTACCCCTAGTTCAATCCACCCCAGTTCCATCTACCCAAAGTTTAACCAACACCTAAGGTACTTGAACCAACTCCTAGCTTAGTCTAGCCCTAGTTCAATCCACCCTGGTTCAATCTACCCAAAGTTTAACCAACACCTAAGGTACTTGAACCAACTCCTAGCTTAGTCTAGCCCTAATTCAATCCACCCCGGTTCCATCTACCCAAAGTTTAACCAACACCTAAGGTACTTGAACCAACTCCTAGCTTAGTCTAGCCCTAGTTCAATCCACCCCGGTTCAATCTACCCAAAGTTTAACCAACACCTAAGGTACTTGAACCAACTCCTAGCTTAGTCTAGCCCTAGTTCAATCCACCCTGGTTCAATCTACCCAAAGTTTAACCAACACCTAAGGTACTTGAACCAACTCCTAGCTTAGTCTACCCCTAGTTCAATCCACCCCAGTTCAATCTACCCAAAGTTTAACCAAGACCTAAGGTACTTGAACCAACTCCTAGCTTAGTCTACCCCTAGTTCAATCCACCCTGGTTCAATCTACCCAAAGTTTAACCAACACCTAAGGTACTTGAACCAACTCCTAGCTTAGTCTACCCCTAGTTCAATCCTTCCCAGTTCAACCAGTCCCTATTTTGTACTCTCCCTGCAGCTGGACCCAGTTCGGCCAATCCCTTTTAATCATGGTTGTAGCAGTAGCATAGTTAAGCTTTAAACAAGACTTGTTCCTTTACTTTTATCCATCAGTATATGTTTATTGTCTCTTACAGGAATATTTTACACTTCTGAATTATTTATTTTTATTCATGCAGATACCAAGGGACAATTCAGTCACTGATTTAATATGCACAATTACAGGAAGACTGAGCACACATCACTGGCCTTGGGAGCCGCAGCACGAGGTTATTAATATGAGGTGTCTCAACTGAGAAGGCTGTGTACATCTATTGTCAGCTGATTTCATTCGTCCAATACACGCAGGAATTCATGAGCCAGAGCACTTTAGTCAAGAAATTGATTTTAAAGTTGAAGGAGAAGATATTTGATGGATAAGTATACATCTGAGTGTAACAGCATCCCATTGTTGCTGGCCATCAGCATGACTAGCTGGAGTCTACTGCGGCATGGCATGGTATTAAACAACCATTAGGATGACGTCACAGTTTTAACTGCTCTTGCAGTCAATCTTGAACCTACTGGGGGCTCACTGATTCTCGCTCCAGAATCAACAGATTCTAGGGATTTCTCCATTACATATACTACAGGACCAAGTCACAACAGATATTAAGTGATATTTGTTAATGATAGAGCATTTCATGATGAACATTCATCCAAAAGGAATTCTTGGAACATTTTAAATTGTAGAACACCTGACTACTAGTTACAGTGTAATTAACCACAGCAGTCAGTAACACCTCTACTATAGTTTGGCATGAAATGCATGTGGACCCGTTTTTTTGTAAATATCTCTTCATCCAATGACCCAATCGATCTCAAACTGTGCAAGTGGATGTTTTGTCAGACAACCTAATCACATTGTAAATCACCGACTTGCATGTTCCAGCAACATGTGTGTTAGATCCTGAACATGACAAAGTAAATATTGCAGAGTTTATAGTTTACCTACAACATTAGACAAACAGAAGACTTGGTATTGCGTGATGTTATATGACACCGGAACCTCTGAATGTATGACACACAATGGAGTTCTGCCTGATTAAACCCTACATTGTCTCTAACTCTGTGAGAGCCCCACCACCGACACCAGCATGAATACTTCTATAAGTCTGGCTCGGACTTCCTAGCATGAACACTTCTATAAGTGTGGCTCGGACTTCCTAGCATGAATACCACTATATGTGCAAAGTCTGGCGCGGACTTCTGCTGTGATAATGAGGAAACTACAAGGGCTTTCTCCAAAGCTACATTCTTCTCTGATTGTTTCTGTGAATGACATACAGCCCTGTCTCATTGGTGACCCCATTCAGTCCCGGTTTAGACAGCCTATTCCATCTTTTTCACATTTGAGATCAGTAGGAGCAGACAAACTCAGAGAAGTAGACAAACAATGGACATTTCAAAACAGGATTGTACATATTCCAACCCTAAAAACAATTGAGTCAATAAAGACAATGTGTCAAATTGATGTTTCCTATTCTGAACTTGTGGAAACACTAAAAACTGCAAATGTCACAAGATTAAAGACTATAAAATGTTCCCATGAATCCTTGTCATTAGAAATGTATCTTATGATGATGCATTATTCATGCCAGTGAAAAGGACTTCTTAACAGAAGACACTGCAGCTGCCTTATGCATATAAAAACATTATTCTTGAAGGCCAATAACACCCGTTTTCTTAAAACCTGAATAAATTAGGGCAAAAAATACATTATGAATTATCTTTTTAGCACATTTATGCCACATACTGAGTAGAGTTTTTTCAAGAGAAAGCAAGAGATGAGTGCAGGTTGACGCCACACGTATACAACTTACTCTTTCTTAGGTATAGGCAGTCTGTATCTGGCCCGGTACAGCGTTAGGGCGTCGTGCAGTTGGCGGAAGTGTTTGTATCTCCGCTTCACCGTCCACTCAAAGTCTCCATGCTTTACCTCAATCGTGTACCTAGGGTGGAGGGTCAAAGGTCAGCATCTTTGTAATTATACATCAGGCCAGGCTAATATTTTGTTTGTTTTATGGCACTTGCTGGCTGAAACTATGCTGAAGAAATGAGTGTATGCAGTGAGTGGATGATTGTTTCATAATCCAGCCACAGTCGCCTGTAGATAGTTGAATCCAGACCTGGCAGACCAGTGACTGAAATCATGAGAAACCTCTATGGATTGGGGTATCCTGACCTTCAGTCAGACAAGGCACAGTCTGACCATTTGGTTCACTCTCAGGACAAGCATGACCTGTTAGGGACCCACTCCCATTTAGAATTTCCAGAGAATTGGGGAGAAGAAAAAAATGATTCAAATTTGTCAACACTTTTGTTTTGTTTTCTTGTTACCTCTTATTGCAAGGTTATCACAGGAATTTTACATCAAAGTAACCCTGATAATATTATTTAATAATTTTGATGCTTTGCCTCCTGTATCTGGAATATCTTCCCAAGAAAATTCAGAACTGACACATTGATTTAGTCTGAAGTGTGAGGAACTCCTTTGCGAATCAATCATGACACAACTTTGCTATCAACTGATGGACCTTGCTGGGTTAGGGACCAAGCTCTATTGATCCACGAGAAGAACAAAGAACAAAATTGACTACAAGAAAACAAATGTGTTAGCATAATACATAAAAAAAAGAAACTTGTTTTTGGTCTGAACCCATTTCTGGTTTTAAATCAGCACTATACTGAAAAAGATAAGATTTCATGCCCAAACCAGGAAGTAATCTCACAAGCCACAGGACCTGGTAGTACTTAACTGTCTTGCATTCTGCTTTGACAGGAATTTCATTTAACATCCTGTTTCTTCCGGTAGGACAAAACACGACATACAAGATGCCATTCACAACATAAAACCAGGGGTGGAAATAACCCATTGCCCGACGTCCGAGTCCAGTGTTTTTTTCTGTGGGGTAAGCAAATTTGTATATCACACTGTACCGGTGTCCAGTTGACTTTCCAATGTTAATTATGTTGTTTATTTAAAAAATCAACAAGAAAACGGCCGGAAAAGTGGAAAAATTATCAGTGCAAGTGATTTTACATGTGCCACAGTGTACCAAAGTACACTAGCAATTTTAAAGTTATTTCCATCCCTGAAAACTAAAGAAGGATGTACAAAGTTTCCACAGCAAATGTCTGTAGATATTTTTTAAAGGAATTTTGTTATATTTTGCTGTTTATATAGTCTGACATGACAGAATGAAAAGACGCCCAAACATGATCACATTAGTTGTCTTCACACAAATGATCAGCAGATTCTGAACAATCAGTTGATCCCAACCCAGAATCCCAAGGGTCATTATCAACTAGTGGACCTGTCCCAACCCATAATCCCAAGGGTCATTATCAACTAGTGGACCTATCCTAACCCAGAATCCCAAGGATCAATATCCCCTAGTGGACCTTTCCTAACCCTGAATCCCAAGGGTCTATACCAACTAGTGGACCTGTCCTAACCCAGAATCCCAAGGGTCAGTATCAACTAGTGGACCTTTCCTAAACCAAAATCCCAAGGGTCTAGATCAACTAGTGGACCTGTCCTAACCCAGAATCCCAAGGGTCAATATCAACTAGTGGACTTATCCCAACCCAGAATCCCAAGGGTCAATATCAACTAGTGGACCTGTCCTAAACCAGAATCCCTGGGGTCTATATCAATTGGTGGACCTGTCCCATCCCAGAATCCTAAGGGCCAATATCAATTGGTTGACCTGTCCCATCCCAGAATCCCAAGGGCCAATATCAATTGGTGGACCTGTCCCATCCCAGAATCCCAAGGGTCAATATCAACTAGTTGACCTGTCCTAACCAAGAATCCCAAGGGTCAATATCAATTGGTGGACCTGTCCCATCCCAGAATCCCAAGGGCCAATATCAATTGGTGGACCTGTCCCATCCCAGAATCCCAAGGGCCAATATCAACTAGTGTACCTATCCTAACCCAGAATCCCCAGGGTCAATATCAACTAGTTGACCTGTCCCAACCCAGGATCCCAAGGGTCAATATCAACTAGTGGACCTACCCTAACCCAGAATCCCAAGGGTCCATATCAACTAGTGGACCTGTCCCATCCCAGAATCCCAAGGGTCAATATCAACTAGTGGACTTATCCCAACCCAGAATCCCAAGGGTCAATATCAATTGGTGGACCTGTCCCATCCCAGAATCCCAAGGGGCCAATATCAATTGGTGGACCTGTCCCATCCCAGAATCCCAAGGGCCAATATCAACTAGTGTACCTATCCTAACCCAGAATCCCAAGGGTCAATATCAACTAGTGGACCTACCCTAACCCAGAATCCCAAGGGTCCATATCAACTAGTGGACCTGTCCTAACCCAGAATCCCAAGGGTCAATATCAATTGGTGGACCTGTCCCATCCCAGAATCCCAAGGGCCAATATCAATTGGTGGACCTGTCCCATCCCAGAATCCCAAGGGTCAATATCAACTAGTTGACCTGTCCTAACCAAGAATCCCAAGGGTCAATATCAATTGGTGGACCTGTCCCATCCCAGAATCCCAAGGGCCAATATCAATTGGTGGACCTGTCCCATCCCAGAATCCCAAGGGCCAATATCAACTAGTGTACCTATCCTAACCCAGAATCCCAAGGGTCAATATCAACTAGTTGACCTGTCCCAACCCAGGATCCCAAGGGTCAATATCAACTAGTGGACCTACCCTAACCCAGAATCCCAAGGGTCCATATCAACTAGTGGACCTGTCCCATCCCAGAATCCCAAGGGTCAATATCAACTAGTGGACTTATCCCAACCCAGAATCCCAAGGGTCAATATCAATTGGTGGACCTGTCCCATCCCAGAATCCCAAGGGCCAATATCAATTGGTGGACCTGTCCCATCCCAGAATCCCAAGGGCCAATATCAACTAGTGTACCTATCCTAACCCAGAATCCCAAGGGTCAATATCAACTAGTGGACCTACCCTAACCCAGAATCCCAAGGGTCCATATCAACTAGTGGACCTGTCCTAACCCAGAATCCCAAGGGTCAATATCAATTGGTGGACCTGTCCCATCCCAGAATCCCAAGGGCCAATATCAATTGGTGGACCTGTCCCATCCCAGAATCCCAAGGGCCAATATCAACTAGTGTACCTATCCTAACCCAGAATCCCAAGGGTCAATATCAAATAGTTGACCTGTCCCAACCCAGGATCCCAAGGGTCAATATCCACTAGTGGACCTTTCCTAACCCAGAATCCTAAGGGTCCATATCAACTAGTGGACCTGTCCTAACCCAGAATCCCAAGGGTCAATATCAACTAGTTGACCTGTCCCAACCCAGGATCCCAAGGGTCAATATCAACTAGTGGACCTACCCTAACCCAGAATCCCAAGGGTCAATATCAACTCGCTGACCTATCCCAAACCAGGATCCCAAGGGTCAACTACTCACAGGTAAGGGTTGAGCATCTTGGACACATGCTTCTCGTGTTTTGTCAGCTTGACCTCCACCGGCAGATTACCAATCCAGCAGTTGGCTCTGATGGTGCTGAATGGATCAGGCTTGTTGTGGATGGTGCGGAAGGGAACAAACTGCAAACCTGCAAACAATAACACATCGGTTACTGTTAGATCACGTCACCATCTCTTCCTGCTCCAACCACAAGCAGACAGGGCGAGATGTAGATCAAACCAGTCACTCACCATTCATGTTACAGCAGCACTACACTTCACACCCATTCGTTCATTCACTTTTTGTGTGTTAATTGTGTCGGCAAATACTATTTGTGATGAACATAATGAGATGTACACAAATTCTCAAGCCAGTGTTGTTCAGTTGATTCAACTTCACTTAAAAGTGCTCTCAACCCCAACATTTACAAGCACTGACAAGATCAAGGAGAGAGATCAAACTCTCGGGGCCCATGGTGAGGTCCGGGGCAAAGTCTTGGTGTGCATGGTACAGGTCCAGAGTGAAACAACAACTATAAAAACCCTACAATTTCACACCATATATTGATACAGCTCTCGTGATCTCACATGATGTAAAACTGATAAATAACACAAGCACAGCTGACACACTTTCTATGTGTGTAACAATGGCCTGAACAAATGAATCCTCAATTAATATTTGAGAGTGTGCTGGGAGTAGATCTGTGAGTTTATATAAATGTTAATCATGGAGGCAGACTGTGCCAGCAGCATTGTAGGATTGGTCATCCCTTAGACTAATGCTTAGTTTATTAATATATATAAGTTTACTGGAAACCATCAATTCCATTTACAGGGCTCCAGATAATTTTTCAACATCAGGAGAACGTACTCCTTATTTTTTCAATACAGAAGTACTGGAAAACCTTAAGCGTACATTTAGAGTACTGAATGGGATTTAAAGGAGTATCAGTAATCTTGTGTTTCGTTTCATATATGCACCACAACATTGCAATAATAAATAAAACAATACATTTTCAGATAAATACGTCTGTAAAGGATTCTAAAACCGTACACCATTGCTGTGGTGGGTATCTGCTACGTTTTCTAAATTATTTCCTACCGTATCGTGCTTATTTTGTATCCGTACATACGCCGATACGACCCTTATCTGGAGCCCTGATTTATACTGAAAAGGAGCCCCAGTGAGAAGGTAGAACCTGAGGAAATCTAGACTTGCTCCATTTACGGCTTGAGCATGGCAGAAAGGGCTGGTAGAAGGGAAAATAATGCTGTTTAGGGACTATGAGAAAGACCAGGCCTTCCTCGTCATTTCCCTTGTTGGATCTATGTAGAGTTCCAGAGGCCATGAGTGGAGGATACAAGGATCAGATGTTCTGTACTGTATACTGTATCAGGTTTATCAAGTTACATATTTCATAGCGTAATGCAGCCGAGGTTGGATTACTTCTCGCCTGGTTCCAGTCTCATAGACGGAACACAAGTTGGATGCAAATTAGCTGAACATCCTTCTCTCCCATGGATTCCAGGAGGTGCAATATATCATCAACAGATAATGGTGATATAGAAAATCAATTCAGTTATTGCTAATCTACTATGTCAGGGATAGAGACAGCTTCCGCAGTAATGCGATGTCTCAGAGCAACAAAAACTTTAATACCACTCGGACCAAACTGAATTGAAGGTCCTGGCATTCATTGGTAAATATTTGAAGGAAATCCACAAGATACATGACAGTTAAATAGAAGTCTAAAAATAGCAAGTTTGTAATACACTATTGGTTGTATCCAGAAAGCATTCTATGTAAAATACATTCCAAAATTGCTTGAAGTCTTGCTTCATAGTCACAAATATCTCTATGTAATTTAACAAACAGTCTATAAGTGATGAACTGGGCCTAGATTTTCGAAGCTCTCTTAGCGCTATGATAGTCATAAGTGGCATACATTAACATTAACTTACTACTATCTTAGAGCTAAGAGAGCTTCGGAAATGTGGGCCCTGGGGTTTAATGTCATGTTCATGTTACACTCATACAGTGATGTGCATACACCTGAGTGTGGCTGCTTGCACTAATGCAGGATGTATAGTGATGGCCTACTGAGATACCACAGTCTGACATGGATACAGACACAGACTACGAGCCCCACCGGTTCTGGTCTTACTCCCTTAATGCTGAGTGATAGGGGATCGAACCTGGACTGACCCACCTCTAGGCAGACACCCGATCCACTCCACCACGGCAGTTCCATAACTAAACACAGCAGTGAACACGACCCAGACAGGCATCTCCAACACAACCAGACACAACCTTATATCACACACTCTACATAAAACCATATTGGCACTTTCACAAGACTCAATACAAAACATATGATTAGCAAAAGTACAACACAACAAGTGGAAACATCCCACTGGTCTGGCACTACAGCTGTGACTAACCTAACACGTGAAACACCTGCCTATATATGACATTAGCGCTGACACACCTTGACACTATAAACAGTGATCTTACACTTACTTTCATAATCTTCCATTGTCTCCTAATTAACGCTGACAGTAATCCCAGTTCCTACACACTTGGCCAGCTCCCTGACTCTACTGACGACACTCTCACACTGATGCCGAGGCAGCAGCAGCTATTTATAGTGCAGACTTGACTCGGCTTCAGGCGATATGTTGCTAGGTTGCTAACTCATCCATTTCCATTCCTGCCGAATCTAATATAACGGATTTGAAGTGATACATGCCCTCATATACTGTTCCCTGTTAGAGCTTGAGTGAGTATAGGTCAGTACACTCAACAGCCTCATCAGCAGGATTATTGCCTCATCAGGTGAACCATAGCCTCATCAGTTGGACCATAGCCTCATCAGTTGGACTAGATCAACTGACTGGGAAGAACACTTCCATGGTATAGCAGCTAACTCTGGCCAATCTTCCAAGACATTGCACGTGTCGCAGTGCTGGAACTTTCTTGGCCAAATATCAAATGTTTGCCATCAATACTATCTCAAGCTGCTTCTCGGTCAAAGGCAGAACCACATTACACAAATCTTCCATTGCACAAACTTTGTTTTCACTACAATAAGCTGTACAAAGTAAGGAACAAAGGTCATCATACTGCATTTTCACATTTAATTCTAGAGTACCAAGTGTCCTGATTCTGTCCCTCATTCCCATGGTATTGCTATGTGACATTATTGTGCTGCAATGTCAGGCATGGCTACACAATGTTATAGCTAGAAAACAACCCACTGACTCAATTCTGTATGGAGAGATGGTTGGATGGACACATGGATGTAGGTATGTATGCCATGGTGACTACATGTGGTACTTGTGCTGATGACCTATTCAGTATTCTGGTCTGGTATGTGTCAGTGCGATTGTTTTACAGTGAACTCCCAGAACCCATCTCCGTGCTGGACCAGATACAGTCTGATGTGTTGGGGTGTGTCGTCAATAGTATTCATGCATCTCCGTGCTGGACCAGATCGTCACAGTCTGATGTGTTGGGGTGTGTCGTCAATAGTATTCATGCATCTCCGTACTGGACCAGATACAGTCTGATGTGTTGGGGTGTGTCGTCAATAGCATTCATGGATCTCTGTGCTGTCACTTAGGATCAACTGAAAACACTGACCATACACTGTGTACTTCATACAAACAGCACAGTGAAGTCAACAGTATGCTGTATACCAGTCCTGTAGTGTGGACAAGATACATCTGAATGTTTCCCTCCCAATAACCTCACAATATGTGTAAGGAGTTGTGTTTATGTAGACATCAGCACTTGTTTGTTGCTGCGGAAATCATTAATCTCAGGTCATAGATCGGTCAACTTAGGTTATTTTTATACATGATTTTATTCTTCTAGTCCGATCAATGAGAATACCTGAGGTTTGATTTGTTATTTAACCCTGCACTCAGCAATATTCCAGCTACATGGCTGTGGTCTATGAACAATCGAGTCTGGTCCAGACAATCCAGTGATAAACAGCACGAGCATCGATCTATACAATTGGGATACGATGACATGTGTCAGCGAAGTCAGCAAGTCTTACCACCTGATCGCTCTAGTCGCCTCTTACGACAAGCATGGGTTACTGAAGACCAATTCTAACCAGGATCGTCACAAGTCGAAGACCTGAGGTTCCCGATTGGCTGATATAATGCTGTCAGAGGATGTGACATTAAATTCTAACTCACTCACTCACTCACTCACTCAGTGAGTCATCCTTTAACATAAATTGGCAATTCTTAATCTTAAAAGGCTTTTGAAATGTGGGCAGCCAGAACACCAGATTCATTGATGACAAGAAAAACCTTTCCCACCTTGGTCAACCAATAACTTACATACAATGTTGAAAATGAACACTGATATTAAAATATCTATTTAAAAAAGCCGTCAATTAATTGCCACTGATGAATTGATAGCAACTAGAAATGAAGATGCTTTGGAAGTAATTTCATTTCATATTTGATAAAAGTCTATGTGCAGTATGTTGCATTCACAGACAGCTGCATTGTTATTAGCTAAATTCTCACATCTATAAGATACAGTGCCTGCAGACAGTCTATGTGTAGTATAGCTACATTCACCGACTCCAGCAGCCACGGTGTTATCAGCCGTACTCTCTCAACAATTATAGGACACAGTGCCTGCAGACAGTCTATGTGTAGTATAGCTACATTCACAGACTCCAGCAGCCACAGTGTTATCAGCCGTACTCTCTCAACATCTATAGGACACAGTGCCTGCAGACAGTCTATGTGTAGTAGCTACATTCACAGACTCCAGAAGCCATGGTGTTATCAGCCGTACTCTCTCAACATCTATAGGACACAGTGCCTGCAGACAGTCTATGTGTAGTATAGCTACATTCACAGACTCCAGCAGCCATGGTGTTATCAGCCGTACTCTCTCAACATCTATAGGACACAGTGCCTGCAGACAGTCTATGTGTAGTATAGCTACATTCACAGACTCCAGCAGCCATGGTGTTATCAGCCGTACTCTCTCAACATCTATAGGACACAGTGCCTGCAGACAGTCTATGTGTAGTATAGCTACATTCACAGACTCCAGCAGCCATGGTGTTATCAGCCGTACTCTCTCAACATCTATAGGACACAGTGCCTGCAGACAGTCTGTGTGTAGTATAGCTACATACACAGACTCCAGCAGCCATGGTGTTATAAGCCATAATCTCACAGCATCTATAGGACACAGTGCCTGCAGACAGTCTGTGTGTAGTATAGCTACATACACAGACTCCAGCAGCCATGGTGTTATAAGCCATAATCTCACAGCATCTATAGGATACAGTGCCTGCAGACAGTCTATGCTGGCTGTATCCATGGTGTTATCAGCCGTACTCTCTCAACATCTATAGGATACAGCGCCTGCAGACAGTCTATGCGTAGTAGCTACATTCACAGACACCAGCAGCCATGGTGTTATCAGCCATACTCTCTCAACATCTATAGGATACAGTGCCTGTAGACAGTCTATGCTGGCTGTATCCATGGTGTTATCAGCCGTACTCTCTCAACATCTATAGGATACAGCGCCTGCAGACAGTCTATGCGTAGTAGCTACATTCACAGACACCAGCAGCCATGGTGTTATCAGCCATACTCTCTCAACATCTATAGGATACAGTGCCTGCAGACAGTCTGTGTAGTAGCTACATTCACAGACTCCAGAAGCCATGGTGTTATAAGCCATAATCAGACAGCATCTATAGGATACAGTGCCTGCAGACAGTCTATGTGTAGTAAGCTATATCTACAGACACCAGCAGTCATGGTGTTATCAGCCATACTCTCTCAACATCTATAGGATACAGTGCCTGCAGACAGTCTGTGTAGTAGCTACATTCACAGACTCCAGAAGCCATGGTGTTATAAGCCATAATCAGACAGCATCTATAGGATACAGTGCCTGCAGACAGTCTATGCGTAGTAAGCTATATCTACAGACACCAGCAGCCATGGTGTTATCAGCCATACTCTCTCAACATCTATAGGATACAGTGCCTGCAGACAGTCTATGTGTAGTAAACTATATCTACAGACACCAGCTAGATGTGCAGTGCTGGTATATAACAGTACCAGTCTAAGTGTAATGAGGGGCATCTACAGACAGCTGCATCCAGGATGTTGATCCCCTGCCAAATTCAACGTTATGAAGTGTTATAGTTGGTCTCTCACCAACTCCATCATCTGTGATGATATTTACACCATGGCCGATACATCGATGTTGCTGTACTATGCAAGGTCAGGTCAGTCATTACTTCGTTAGTGGTGGTATGTAGCAGTGTGTGCAGTAGACCATCTAGTGTTAGCTTTGTTTAACATAGATCCCCCTCCCCCAGGAATCCTGAGCATGTGTCGGAGAGTGACACAACCTAACCTGCAATAGATGCCAGCATCCAACCCATGCGCCACATACCTGTCACACAAGCTCTGATTAATATGTATCTTGTGTAGCTAATTTATTAATTAACAGTGAGTGTACATTACATGGTGGGTTAGAAATATTCCTGGCAACCTCAGATTGATCTCAGTTAGGCCAACCAATGGCTGACAGCATGAGCAGAAATCAGAACTCAAAATGGCAATCACAGGGTTCAAGCAAGGATGAATCTCTCACAGTGTCTCTGGTAGCCTAGATATCTAGGCCACTTGTGCCACCAAAACGCAGAATGAAACATCATCAAGTTGCTATTGCAGGTCTCAAGTGTTTCTTCATTGTGTGAGTGGGTTAAACTGTATGCTGCTTCAACCAATTATAGCTGTTGCTGTGATACCGGGAACCTGGTCTACATATAGCATCCATGGGAGAGTCAACCCCAGGTCTTGATGCAGGGAATAACACTTGATGCCACTGCAGGGGGTCGTCTTGACCATCTGCAGTGAAACGTCAGTAGTCACACTTCACACTAATGCCGCCCTTCTGAAAAGCGTTACTTCTCTATGTATGATCTGTGATGACCATGACGTTTCCAAAGCAGCTGTATAAGCCAACTACAACACAACAAACCTCTGTTTGTATACATCCCCTCTAACATGCTCAGGGCGGTGGGGTAGCCTAGTGGTTAAAGCGTTTGCTTGTCACGCCGAAGACCCGGGTTCGACTCCCCACATGGGTACAATGTGTGAAGCCCATTTCTGGTGTCCCCCGCCGTGATATTGCTGGATATTGCTAAAAGCGGCGTAAAACCAAACTCAGTCAGTCAGTCAGTCTAACATGCTCATTAACTATGAGAAGCAGCAGTAAAAAAATGTGCTTATGACTCTTTTTAATTTCCTAATTATTGAAATTTAGGGTTGCTGGTCCCATAAAGAAATAATGAAAACTAAATACAATATCGTAATACTTTTTTGAAAAGTAAAAATTCCAAACAACATGAGCTAATTATGATAATGGCAGACACTGTAGCAAATGATTGTGATAATGCCAGTTGAATTGCCTGCCACAATGCTTTAGATTGATACAGTATGATCATCATCAGTAGACCCAGTGTCAGATCACTATACAGGCATCACAGCCAGCCTAGCCTGCATTCATTCAGTATATTAAAGTTGTGGCCTCTGAGTAAAGAAATGACCTTGTCATCCCTGTATTGATTATGAACGCATGATATCATAGATTTTAAATGAACAGTTAAA